AGCTGTGTGCCCCCAGCACACATCACAACATCCCCCCTTGCCAGGAGAGGATGCTCCCCAGCTGTAGTGCACGCAGCCAGCCCTGTTGCCCTGGGGGAAAGCCTGCCTGGCTGGGGCAGGGGCTGTACCATGCTCGCTGGGGTCTCTGCGTGCTGCCGGGGAGCTGGTCTCGCCCGTTGCCAAAAGGAGGTGGTCTCCCCCTGCGCCAGCCGCTGCGGGGGGAGTGGAGCAGGTGCCCTGTCAGCAGCGTTCCCCTGTGCAGCCCCCAGTCACAGCCACTATCAGCCCTCCCACCCAGGGCTGGGACATCCCCCCGGTGCCAGAGGAGCCCCACACGCCCTGCAGAGCTGCTGCAAGGATGGGAAGGGATCCCCGCATAGCACCGGGAGCTGGGGGCTCCCCCTGCCCCCCTGTTCCCCAGGCTCAGCGCAGCCCCACGCAGCACCTCCGCAGGGTGCTTAGAAACCATCACCTTATCCAGGTCCATCTTGGATGGCATCACCGGGGAGGTGGGGGCTTCCATCCCACCCGCTGCTGGACTGCTCGCTTCCTTTATTACCTGTGGAGACAGCCCCCAGCAGCTGCTCAAAACAGACCCAAAGGCCAGGGCTACTTTCCTGGCTTGGCACACTCCTGTCTCGCCACCTGAGCTTGGCTGAACCATGGGAAGAGAGCTCCTGGTCTCTGCAGGACTGGACAGCCCCTGCTCAGGGCACAAGTCTGGGGGATTGCACACACCTCGGCCCCTTCCAAACTGGAACCAGCTTCATAGAATCATAGAATGGTTTGGGTTGGAAAGGACCTTAAAGATCATCTAGTTCCAACCCCCCTGCCATGGGCAGGGATACCTCCCACTAGCCCAGATTGCTCAAAGCCTCATCCAGCCTGGCCTTGAACCCCTCCAGGGATGGGGCATCCACAGCTTCTCTGGGCAACCTGGGCCACTGCCTCACCACCCTCGCAGTAAAGAATTTATTCATACAGATTTTGTCAGAGATTTTGGAAATCTCTGAGGTGAGGGACTGGGGTGCCAAGACGCACAGTGATCCTGCCAGCACAAGACACCTCACCACCCTCTGTTTTACAGGCAGGCACAGCGGGGCTTGCCCAGGCCACGTACAATGATGTTTGGGTCACAGCCGGGTTTGTGGTGTGCACAGAGGCTCCTTTCCCACCCACGTCCCCTGTCTCCTGCCCCTGAACAAAGGCAGGAAAGGGCCACGAGGAAGAGGAGGGGGAGAGCAAACATCCCCACCCCGCAGGGGCTGTCAGCACCGGAGATGCCTGGGCCCTGGGAAGTGCCTGGCCAGCCCCCCCACAGCCGATAAGTGACAGGACCCAAACCCCCTTCCCCTTCCAGGGGGGCAAGACCTTCCCCCAGCCAGGAAGGATGCTGAGGAGAGCCTGCAGACCCCGGGTGACGCACGGGGTGGCCGTGGTACCTTCAGCCACTCCTCAGCCTGCTCCTTGCTCTGCTGCACGGCCAGCACCAGCGCCTCGGCCCCCGGCAGCGAGAACCGCAGCTCGTGCTTCTTGCGCCGGCCATCCTTGGGGACGTAGATGACATTGCAGGTGGCCAGAGGGACCTCCACGTGTGGCTGCCGGTCCTTGGAACTTTTGTAGCACTAGGAGAAGCAAAGGGAACTGCTCAGGGCTCAGCCAAAACCTGCCTGTCCTGCTGCCATGCCGGGCAGAGCGGGCGTCCCTCTCAGGGTCCCCCACAGGTGGCACAGATGGAGGTGGCTCAGTCTCTGCAACAGCCTCAGTGGTGGAGGGCTGCAGGGTGCCCTCTCACTCTGTGGGGTCCCAAAAGAGGGGAGCCCTCCATTCACCCACAAGAGAAGCGAGGGCAGCCCCTGCACATGCTCTGCAAGGCAGTTGCAGCCTTGGGGCAGGTTCTCGCCTTGGACAGTGCTTTTGTTCAGCCTGGATCTGACCTCCCTTCCAGCCCACCAGTGGTTACTGTGCCCCACCAGCTCCAGGCTCACCAGAAGTTTGCTGTCCCGTACGATGGTGAGCTGCTTGGCCCACTGTCCGAAGCGCTTCTTGCGCAACAGGAAAGCGCAAATCCTGCAATCCTTCACCAGGTTCATGGAGGCTTCCTCCGACGGCCACTGGTGCGTCAGCTGCTGGCCCTTCCCCTCCTCCTCCTCCTCATCATACGACTCGTAAGAGCTGCTCATCGCATCCGAGTCATTGTCTGGAAGGAAGCAGGCGAGTCACCCCAAATGGCACCCCACAGCCCTGCCTGCCGGGCATGCTCACACCCTGCAAGGGCTCCCGGTGCCTGGCGGGCTCCAGCACAGAGCCTGGGCTGAGCGCCACAATGGACGGACTCCATGTCAGCCTCTGGAACAGCAGCATTTTGACCCCAGCTGTCTGCATTTCCCTTCCAAACCAGGCAGGATGCTCATGGGCCAAATGCCAGTCCCAGGTGCATCTATCCAAACCCCTGTGCTGGCTTATTTCTTTGCCTCAGACTTTGAAAGCCTGGATTAAACCTTCTCCCTGCAACAAAGGATCATGTGCCGGCCCTCTGCCCCACACCTCCTGCATGGGGCACAGAGGAGCTGGGCTCTGCAGCGTGTCCCTGTCCAGCTCTCCTTCACTGTGGCAGAGGCAGCTCATGCAGAGCATAAGCATTGTGTAGGCAGGGACACCCCTTCCCTATCCTGGTGACAGACACTGCACTGATTACATCCCTTCTGCAGCTCAAGGGCTCTGACTTCCACAATAAACAGCACTCCACACTCCTTGTTTTGCCCAGCAGCCTCTGACACACAAGGGGTTCCCCAGCCCCAATGTCCCTGGCCCCCAGCCCTCAAGCCCCCATCTCAGAACTGGACTTTGCCGAAGCTCTCCCCTCCCCAGTGAGGGCACCCGGATACCTACAGGAGTTTTTTTGCTCCCCATTCATCCTGGTGACAGGGTAGTTGCTGTCTGCATCCTCATAATAGCCATCCTCGATGGAGTTGGGGGGGCTGGAGCTGTCTGTGGACAAAGCAGAGGGCAGCTGAGGCTGTTACACCTGGTTTCCCTCAAGGATGCTCTGAGCAGCGAGCCCATGAGCTGGGGCAGAGCAAAGCACACTCCCAGGGCATCGCAGCATCGGTCCCCCTACAACTCTGACCTCTCCCCTTCACCCCCTTCCCTGTCAAGCCAGAGCAAACAACTTGCAATAACAGCACAGCGGGATGGGAAGGAAGTGGGACAGGAGCGATGCCGCTGGGAGCAGCGTTTCCTTCCGCGGGACAAGCTGTCACGCCTGGCGAGGGCAGCCTGCTTTGCCAGGCAGGCAGTGGTGGGGTGCAGCGGGCAGCTTGCAGGGCTCCTAGCACAGAGCAGGACTCACTGCGGGAGGTGATGTACTCCGGAGCCTTGCCGGGACCCAGGGGCAGGGCTTCCTCATAGTAATCCTCAGGTGGGGGAGTGGTGGGCAGCGGTGGAGCAGGGTCCACAGGAACCTACAGCAGAAACACCACTGGCATTAGCCATGCAGCGGAGATGGTCATGAGTCCCAGCAGCTACTGCAATGGCAAGGGACAGGAAGGGGTCCCGGCCCCGGCCACCGCCACCTCCCTGTGCAGGGGCAGAGCAGACCTCAGAGATGGGCATTCAGGGACTTACGGTTTTTGCGGTCTGGCTCCTTGCCAGCTCCAAGCCAACACCATCACCAGTGTCCCCCTCCTCCTCCTGCATGTCCTGGAGGTCCCGCAGGTCACAGTCTGCCCAGGGGGTAAGTGGAGATGGGTGAAGGGTGCAGGAAACCCCAGCCAGCACTGGGCTCCCCAGCCATGCCCTCCAGGGACCCCCAAGGTGAGCACCCATGGCCTGTCATGGAAGGTGTTGGGACATGGGCACCCCCACGGCATGGACCCCCCCAGCCAGCTCCCAAGAGCAGCTTCAAGGGCACAGGAGCAAGTGTCCCGGGTGCCAGTGCCACCCCAGGCACAAGGACACAGCTTCCACCCTCCTTCCCCGGGGTGTCCCAAGAGCCCCGGCTGTCAGCAGGGACCCCAGGGCCAGCACTGCACCCACCCAGCATGACTTCTGGCATGTCACACGTACCAAACTCCTCGAAGAGAGACTCCACGAAGCTGGTGCCATTGCTCAGGGATGCCGTGTTGACGTACATGTAGTCCACGTCCTTCCCTGGGGGCGAGGGGATGTTCTCAGTCCAGGGGTGGGCAGGGTGGCCGGGGTGAGCACCAGCACCCCTCCTCCCCATGAACACCAACCCACGGACACAGCCCACCCTACTGTGCCATGGGGTAGGCTTGGGGAGCAGAGGAGCCCCCAGGGATGCTGCAGCCCCCCAGGAGGGCAGGAAGGTGGGCAGGCTGTGCAGCCCCAGGTGCACGGCCCTCCTGGCCTTCCCGCGGAAACCCCTGCGCTCAGCAGAAACCGGTGGCAGGAAGACCTCTGCAAAGCGGTGTTTCCGCAGGGAGCAACCCCCCCGCAGCCACGGCAAGGCTGACGCCAGCCACCGCGCCCAAGGCGGGGAGAAGCCGGGAAGCGAGAGCAAGGAGCAAAGCACAGCGAGGGGCTGAGCAGGTGCTGGGCATAGGGCACAGGGGCAGCTCATCCCTGCCCTAGAGATGTTCTACCCCACCCTGCCGGGTTTTTGGCCCGGGGCAGCTGCTGGAGACACCCACTGCCCCTGGGGACAGCTACCAGGCATCACGGGAGCAGGACACAGACCTGTGGGTGGCTGCAGCTTCTGCAAGATGGTGGAGACAGCCAGCTTCTTCTCCTGTGTGGTGGCACTCAGGTATTCGTGGTCCAGCAGCTTGAGCAAGATGCTGAGCTCTGGCAGGAGCTGGTCCAGCACTAGGGGAGCAGGACAAAGCCCATTAGCCTGGGTGATGTGGGGGTGCTGGGGTTAAGACAAGGCAGAAGGAGCTGGAATGTGTGGAAGACCCCAGGATGGGGGTCTTTCCCAGCATGGCTCAGGCAGCGTTTGCTGACCGCACATGTGCTCTTTCCATGCAGAACTCTTCCACCTGCATGCAGACACCGGGATGCACCCTGCTGAGCCCACAAACGGAAACACCAGCTCTGCAGGGCTACTGGACTGCTATCAAAGGATCAGCACGTGTATTTTTCCATGCAGATAAACCTACACCTCTCTCTGCCCGACGGCATATTTTTGCTGCTCATGTCCCCTTGCTGTGATGGGCACTGGGTGATGATGGAGAGAAGGAAGGAAGGAAGGAAAGGAAACTCAAATGCCATCTCCAGAGCCACCTGGCAATGCCACCCAGGGAGACATCCTCCCACTCTTCACCTGCTAGGGGACTGTCATATTCCCCTGCTGCGCTCAGACCACCTGTGACCTCCCAGCCCAGTGCCACCTCCACAGGGTCCCCATACACAGGCTAGACCCTTCGTCCCCATGCTCACCACCAGCAGCTCCTCTGCCCTGCTGTTTGTCCTCCCCTGCATCATCCCAGCTCATCCACACCACCCCAAGGCCACATCACTCTTCCCTCCAGGCACAGTCACTGCCCCAGGGGACAGTCACTGCCCCACGCAGGCACCCGATGGGGACTGCAGCACAGGATCTGTGTTAGCTGAGCCTCACTCCAACATACACGGCTCCAGAGGCGGACAAGGGGGTCAGAGCAGCTGAACTCCTGGCAAAGAGGAACAGCACCAGAAGCTACCACTCTGCGATCACAGACTCAGAATCATAGAATCATGGAATGGTTTGGGTTGGAAAGGACCTCAAAGATCATCGATTTCCAACCCCTTGCCGCGGGCAGGGACACCAGTGTGGGCTCATCATCGCAGTGTCTGGGGTCCCAGCACCCGCCAGCTCCTGGGCGGCCGCTGGAGCATCAGCCTGGCAGACAGACCCAGGCAGGGGAGACAGGGAGAGCCCAGGAAAACACAGGAAAAGAGAATTTGCTGCAAAACACCGTTACAGGTGCAACAGATAAAAATGTAGGTCTCCTCTTTGACACGGTGATCCATGGGCTAGTTTTTATGAAGCGAAAGCACACTGCAGCTGTGGGGTTACCTGTGCAGCAAGGCTCCAGAAAACACTTGGATGTTTGCATATCAGAGCAGGGCCACAAAAGAACTTAATCACTGAAAGCAGTGTTTATGGTGCTGGCAGCCGCTGACCAACAGCTTTGGGAAAACGTGTTGGCCAGGGTTGGGAAGGACTCGGAGGACTTCAGCAAGGTGAGCTCTGGACTCCAAATCTCTTATGAGCTCCCACACCCTCAATTCTGCATATGCACCGACATCCTCATCCCAGGTCTCTTCCTGTACCTTATCTTGTCCAAGCAGGATAAGACAAAACTGAGCTGGATCTCAGTCTAAGCTCCCATTTTACCTGGGACCATGCACCCACTCGCCTCCGCTGGCATTTGGGGCAGCTCCTGCAGGGTCCAGTGTCTGTGGGAGATGTCCTGCATTGGAGAGGGACAGGGACAGCAGCAAACCTGCAGCTCTGGAGGCTATAGACAGTGGGAGGAAAAGCTGCTGTTTCTTCCAGCACAGGCAGGATCCCTTCTCTCGGCAGCAGCCAAAAGTCATCACAGCACAGCTGGGGCAGCGTGCACCTGGCTTTGGGTCTCCAGGGACAGCAGGAGCGGCCAGAGGTGACCACAGAGGCAGCTCGGACGTGCTGACTGATGGGAGTGGTTTGCAAGGAGGGGAGAACAGAGCAAGGCAGCAGTGAGGGCTGGCATGGGGCGCATTTCCCAGGGGAAGGGCAGGATGCTGTGCTGCTGCTGGCATCTTCGTTACTCATGTTGTTTAATGAGCTTCTGCTGCATCCTACCCAAACACTGCATCAAAAACCAGGCTGCTACAGGTTTGACCCAGGATTTTAGGTGCCCACCTTCCACCCCTGAGAACCACCGCCTGAAGCACAGAGCGAGTGCCCCAGGACAGGCTGGCACTGCTGCCCAAAGCAGGGACAGCGCAGTAACACCAACTGCTGCTTCAAAGCTTTTCAGCCAAAGGGGAACCCAACACAAGTGGATTGATGTGGATCAGCACCTGGCCAAGATGAGCCCTCGGGCAAGGAGACGGTGTGCCCAGCCCCAAATCACCACCTCCCCAGGACACAAGGCAGGATGCAGCTCACGAGCCTCTTCCTGCCGCCCCAGCCGATGGGGCTTCTATCTCCTCAGACCTTCTGCTTCCTCCTCCCTCCCCAGCGCCAAGCTAAACAGCAGCCTCAGCCCTTTCAGCAAGGGTGGCTTTGCCAGAGCCCATCTCCCGTGGACAGGCCAAACCAGGACAGGTACCCCCTCAGGCAGGGGGGAAGCCTCAGCACAGCTCTAGAAGGACCAAGCGAGCCTGGGAAGTTGGCAGCATCCCCCAGCCCATGGGAAAGGAGAGGGCAACCACAGCAGAACCGGGTTCCTGCTCCCTGAGTTAGAAAAACACCCCACAGCAGACAGGCAGCCATGGGACCCAGGTCCTGTCAATGCTCCGCTTGCTGTCCCCTCCAGCATGCACCTCTTGGGGCAAGAACCAGCTCCAGCCATGCGAGAGCCTCATGCATGTGACGAGCAAGGGTAAGCACCCAGCTCCCATGGCCCTCTCCTTGCCCCTCCGCAGAGGCAGGACGGGAGCGAAGAGGGGCAGATCCTCCCTGGGAGGCTTGCAGAGCGCTGCACAGGCATGATGGGAGCAGGCTCCAGCTCAGCGATGGTGCTGATCGTCAGGCCCATGAAACATCCTCCCCTGCAGGCCTTAGTGGACTGGGGACTAGCAAGGAAGCAGCTGGGATAAAAAGCAAGACGTCCCCCTGTCCACCCAGCACCTGCAAGCATCTAGGGAGACACCCATCCTCCTGCTGCTGCAGCTCATCAGGCTCTCGGCTGGCCCTGGGCCATGAGCTCCCATGGAGCTGGGGACCATGCACATCCCCTACATCAGCTCCCCACAGCACCCCGAAGCCTAGGCCAGGGTGCTACCAGCACCCCCATCCCCTGCCACGCGCAGAACATCTCCCATCACAGCCACCAGCTCCTGCGCAAAGGCTTCAGACCAGCTGAGGGCAAACGTGCGAGTTTCTATTAATAGCAACAAAGCAGGCGGCGTGCGTGGCAAAGGGGGCGAGGGGACCCCGCTGCACACAAGGACCGAGAGTGCCTGATAAGCGAGGTTTGTCACCCGGCATGGCAGCAGGGTGAGCTCATCGCAACGTCCCGACCGCCAGCGCTGAGCTGGGCCCGCGGAGCATGG